GGTGGCTGACTAAATACTTTTTTTCCCCACTGTATATACACACATGTGTGTAGGTTGAGTTCCGGTCATGAGGAGATCTTGAAGCACTTCTTTACTTCTCTTGTGAAACTGGGGCCAAGGGCAATGAGCAGTTTTGAAATGTCATCACGATGTTGAGCAAACATAGATATCCTCTTTCCAAACTCTATATGCACAACAAAAAAGGAACCTGGGAACACACACATGCTGCTAATATCCGGGACAAAAGAGCTTAATCAACAGCTCAAAGAGGAACTAACGTCTTAAAGGTGGCTCTTCTGAAGCAGAACAGTGCTTGGCACTCGAGTGAAAGACACACAGACCAACCTTCAGGCACTTCACATGGAGGAAATTCACCATGAAGGAGAAATTGGCAACATAGCCAGCGTCCCCTGGAGGAGGGGTAGTTCTGAGGGGCTACCGTGTGCCGATGCAAAAACAAGAGACAGCGAAGAGCTGCATTTAGAGGAGATGGCGAGTGCCATCTCTGATTACTAGTTGTCTAGGCGGTAGCTTATTTGTAAAAAAGTTCAATAGGAAAATCACTGACATTAAATCATATTTAAATAAGCAATAATAACTCACCAGAGCTCTGGCATCAGCCATTTTGGCTTTCTTTAGCTTGGTCTTTGCAGCATCAAGGTCCAGTCGTTTGTTTTGAAGCAGTTTGCGCTCTTTCTGTAGAGAAGCAGACGTGTTTGGTTTGTTGAAGTTACATTTTTGTTATTAAAAACTCTTAATTATTTAAGTTAAACCTGTTGCAGCTTCACATACGTTTGGATGGTTTTTGACCTCTTAAGAACACAATGAACCATAGGTTTTTTTCAGAATTGGTCTTGTCTTTTTTAGTGTATCTGATTCAAATTTATTTAGTTTTTTGTAGTCTGAATGGCAAAAAAAAACATTAAATCCAATATTTACAAAGCTGATCCATATGTGGTTTAAAAATTGAATCAAATCAAAAATTGTATGCATCCCAGTTTTAATTTACAGTTTAATCTCAGTATGATTTTTGAAAAATTCAGTAAAAACCGTAATGTTGTTAAATATTAATACAGATTAAAATATTTATTTTCATATATTTTAAAATGTAATTTATTCTGTATGATCCTTCAAAAATCATTTTAATATGCTGATTTATTACTCAAAAAACATTGATTATTATTATTAATGTTTAAAGCAGTTGTGCTGCTTATTTTTTTGTGAAAACAAAACAACAGTAATCATTTGAAATAGAAATTTTCGTAACGATGTAGAAGTTTTTACTGTCACTTTTGATCAATTTAATGCATTGTTGCTGAATAACAGTTTTTTTTTTTTACTGAGTCATACTGACCCCTAGACTTTTGAATGCTAGCACATACAGCAATGTTTAAGAATAAAATGTTCAAGAAATCCATGTGTTGTTAGGGTTGCCTGATCTCACCAATATAGTCTTGAAATCTCCTTCTAAAAAGTTGCGGAAAGGCGTGAGGAAATTGATAGCAGAGCTCTGAATGAACTCTCGCTCCGCTCCTCCGATCTGCTTCTCCGTCTCGCCGCACTTTATCAGAGCGTTTCCTGAGGACAGAAACAGACTGAATCAATATTTTAACAAAATTATGAGATGCCTAGAGGGTATTCTCATAACAATAAATAGGCTTTCACATCTGATTTACAGACTACTAGTGTTTTAGGCATTTACATTCAAGCAAGAGGAAATGGGGCATTGGCACACAGCAAGGGACTACTATTATGGGTAATTAGGGCACTAATGCTGCCCTTGTGTTTGATGCTTACCGTAGGCCGTTCCAGGCCCAAATTCATTCCCAGAGTCTATCATGGACTGACCCAGAAGCTCATGGTTGTTCATCCGTGTTGGCACCTTTTTGTCCAGTTTTTCATACAAGAACTCTTCTATTCTGACATCTGAAAATGCAGGTAATAACAATTACATTATAATGCAAACCTATGTTACATATTAGGACTATGGATCAATGCCACATACACAACTCTTTAATTCATTGATTTAGTTTTAATATGAAGGTTTTGTTTGCACATGAAGACTGATTCAAATATTTATGAGTACACTGTAAAAAGTGATACTTGACATGGTACAATTGTTCCTTTACAGAGCTATTTTTACCTGATCAAACAGAACTTCAGTCTCATTGGTGTAACCTGACGCATTTAGGTAGATTCAGTGGTGTTCAATAATATTTTTAAC